GATCAAACGCAGACTATAACCAGAAAACCCTAAAGCTTAGAGCTTTTTTCTCGAGCCGTCGAAAATGTCGAAACGAGGTTTGTCTTTCGATTCAAAGCCTTCCTTTTTTCATTGTTATTGCATTTTGTTTATAATTTCGTTATTTAAGCCTCCATAGCTCTTAGATTCAAAGTACTTGAAATCGATCTACTACTTTCGATTTCAAAATCTGACCTTTTATCAAAATTTCTTCAAAATCAATACCGATTGCGAAGAAGAATACGACCCAATTGGATAATGAACACAAAAACAATGAGTAATTAGGTGTAAATTATAAATAAATTGATGTTCTTGAGCTTTGGTCTAATGGTGGGTTGGAATTTTTGTTTTGGTTAGGACGTGGAGGTACGTCTGGTAACAAATTCAGGATGTCACTTGGTCTTCCAGTTGCAGCCACAGTGAACTGTGCAGACAACACAGGTGCTAAGAACCTTTACATCATTTCGGTTAAAGGAATCAAAGGTCGTCTCAATCGGTTACCTTCTGCTTGCGTTGGTGATATGGTTATGGCTACTGTCAAGAAAGGTAAACCAGACCTCAGGAAAAAGGTTCTTCCTGCTGTGATTGTTAGGCAGCGTAAGCCGTGGCGCCGAAAGGACGGTGTTTTCATGTACTTTGAAGGTAAAATTTACAGTTTCTTGATTTGAAACATGAGTTTGTGGTATTGAGATTCATACTGATTTGGTAATCGTTTTATCATTCGTCGATTGTAGATAATGCGGGAGTGATTGTGAACCCGAAGGGAGAAATGAAAGGTACTTCAATGTTTATCAGAATCACATAGATTTTTTTGTTAAGTATGATCTTTGTTTTGAAACATGTGTTGGGGTTTGTTGTTGTGTGTAATTTAGGTTCTGCGATTACTGGACCGATTGGGAAAGAGTGTGCGGATCTTTGGCCAAGGATTGCTAGTGCTGCTAACGCCATCGTCTAGAGATCATAACTCACTTGCTGGTTATATCTTCTTCTTCTTCAAATAGTTGAAAAGGAATCTTGATGTTTTCTTGAGTGCTTTAAGTAGAGACAAGAATATTTTGTGAGCTTTCAGACAAGTTTCAGTCTTGGTTTGTAAGAGATGTTGCAGTTTGAACTTAAATGAAATTATTTAATCTCAAGTAAAAGAAATTATTTGATCTCATAGTAATTTAAAAGTAATACAAATTTACTATGGATTTGAAGTTTGAACAGTTGACTTTTCATTGCATAAAATTGACTTTAATTGACAAACCAAAGTCTATATAAAAAACCAGAACATCTCAAATGTCAAAATCGAAAGTCAGAATTTACATTTCACACAACCTTTCTTTTGAAATAAACACATCAAACAGTACCAAAGCTCACACATAATTTCGGGTAAAGAGACATTGATTTANTTTCTATAAAAAATACTTAAAAGAAAACCAAAAAATGAATTATTATTTAACTCAAGTACCTGCTAAAACTAGGAAGGCTGAGTTTTTGCCTATCTTACTTTGTGCAAGCAATCCTCTCTTTAGCTAGTTAAGCTTCTCTATACACTTTCCCTGAAGACCATGGCCGGAGTCTCTGGCTTTGGCTATGAATGCATGCCAAAGCAATCGAAAAAGATTGCAATACAGATATCTTTGCTTGAAATTGGACGAAATAGAGACCGTCTCGAACACTCATGATCCTTAATCCGGGAATCCCCTGCTTCGATCCCTGAGAAAACACAAAAGGAACCAATCGAATTTCAGAGTCAACATTACCAAGATTGAGTTTTTCCTTGATTGGTCATTTCGTTAGCAAGGAAGTTTCCATCTTTTTGTAATCTATGGCGTATGATTGAGGAAATGGTAAACGGATCTTGAATGTTACCTCTGTGAAGAGCTCGAAAAGATTGCATTGACCTTCGTTTTGGTCTTTACGAGCTTGGCCTTGAAGGACGGTTAAGGGACAACCCAAGTCCCACCCAGAGCAGTCGCAGCTGCCTCCGGATTTCCATCTCTGAATCAAGCTCGAAGGACCACCATTTCTATTTCTCGACCCTCCGTGAATCCCCGAAGGAATCACAACGTCTATGCTCGCCGAATGCTTGGAATTATCTGAAGCATCCTTGGTTCGAGCCAAGCGCGTTTTCTTGAGAAATTTAATGCCCCAGCCTCCAA